CTGGGACTACAGGTGTGCACCACCACGACTGGCTTAAAATAATATTTTTAAAACCCCAAACAAATAAATATAAAACACCCCAAACAAAAACATGGCATGGTGGTATACACCTGTAATCCCATCTACTGGGGAGGATGAAACTGGAGGATCATGAATATGAATATGGCCTGGGCAATTTAGTGAGACCCTGTCTTAACACTTTTTTAAAGGGTTGACCATGTAGTTCAGTGGTAGACTACCTGCCTGCCTAGATGCATGAGGGCCTGGCTTCCATCACCAGTATTGGAAAAAAAAAAAGACACCTAAATGAAAGTTTGAAATGCATTATTTTCATATTTCATACCTCATGAGATAGCATTTTCCTTTTTGTCATTTAATTTGACTATTAAAAAATATAGAAGCCGTGGGCCGGGCATGGTGGCGCACACCTTTAATCCCAGCACTCGGGAGGCAGAAGCAGGCGGATCTCTGTGAGTTCAAGGCCAGCCTGGTCTACATAGTGAGTTCCAGGCCAGTATGTGACCTCAAAGATCACTTGAAAAAAAAAAAAAAAAACAAAAACAAAACAAAACAAAAAAAACCCAGAAGCCTACTTAGCTCTTAGCTATTCTAGTTACTAACTATTCTCAGGTATTAGCTGTCCAACAACAGGTGGCCTGGCTGACCAGATTTGGCTGGCAGGCTTTTGTCAACCTCTGATCTAAAAGAATTACAATCATGTTTAGTTAAATTGACATAACAATAATCTGCCTTCTAAATGTCTACGTGTATACCCCTCGATAATTCCTACTCGAAGCCTGAATCGGAGAAGCCTCTCTTTACAGTGATGAGTGTGAAGTCAGACTTCTGGTTGCTAAAGGTTTGAAAATAAGCAATGCTCAGCCCTAAATAAGACGTTTGTACAACCCCTTCTAAGGTTCAGGGAATATTGCAGAAGAGGAGGAAAAAAGTGTAAGAGCAGAAAATAGGGAAAAGGTATGTGAAATGCCATCTCTGGGCAGTATGTAGTCATAAACTCACAGCAGCTGTGCTTACTTGCCCTGGGTCTGCAAGAGACTGGCCAGGTCAAGTCAGTCATGGATCGGGGAGGGGCTCCTTCTTGCTCAACTACTGGCTACTGATGGATTCAGGTAGAGGGAGTGCCACTGTCTTCAACTGTATACCCACTGGTGATCCCACCAGGCTCTAAGGGATAGTTCTAAGCCCAAGGTCACACAGACAGTCCTGATTAAACTCAGTGGGTCATAAAACATACAGACATGTATGTGGGAAAGGGATTTGTAGGTGGGAGAAAGGATTTCAGGATTGGGAGGAGGTAAGATTCAGAATGCGTTACATACAGGTATGAAATTATCAAAGAACAAATTTAATTAAAAGTTAAAAATTGAGCCGGGCGTAGTGGTGCACGCCTGTAGTCCCAGCACTTGGGAGGCAGAAGCAGGTGGATCTCTGTGAGTTCAAGGCCAGCCTGGTCTACATAGTGAGTTCCAGGACAGCTGGGGCTACAGGGAGACCCTGCTTCAAAAAGAAAAAAAAAAAAAAAGTTGAAAATCATCCCAGAATACTCAAAGATCATTTCTGTAAAGATTGTGGGGTTGTTTTTCTTCCAGTTCTGCACACATCATTAAAAACTTTATAAATGCATTTTATTCTGTCAAAAAATAATTACAACCTATAAATTTTTACTTCCTAGCTTTATTGTTAGTATTGTGTTAGAATTTTAAGCTATTTTTAGTTTACTTTTTATTATTGTTAATTATGTGTCTGCATATGTAACTGTGGTGATGGTGGGGTATGTGCACATGAATACAGGCTGCCCATGGAGGCCAGAGGCACTGGATTCCTCAAGAGCTGGAGTTACAGGTGGTTGTAGCTGCCTACACTGGGTGCTGGAAACCAAACTCAGGTCCTTGATCCTCTGCAAGAGTAATATGTGCTCTTAGCTGCTGAGCCATCTCTCCAGCTCCTTAAACTATTTTATAATTGTAGGGTAAAGCAAAGGAATATGTTTGTATGACCTAGGAACCAAGAATAGCTACATGGCAATACATGAAAATAAAAGGCGGGGCTGGACAGATTGCTCAGTGGTTAAGAACACTGACTGGTCTTCCAGAGGACCCAGGTTCGATTCCCATCACTCAAATGCTGACTAACAACTGTCCGTAACTACAATTCTAGGGGATCTGACACCCTCTTATGACCTCTTTGGGCACTGTATGCACGTGGTGCACTTACATACATGTAGGCAAAACACTCATATACATAACATAAAAATTATATATATATATTTTTTTTTTCGGTCTTTTGGAGACAGGGTCTCCCTGTAGTTACAGCTCGCCTGGAACTCACTACATAGACCAGGCTGGTCTTGAACTCACAAGAGATCCGCCTGCCTCTGCCTCCTGAGTGCTGAGATTAAAGGCATGCAACACCCATGACTAGCAAAAATAATATATTTTTTAAAATAAAAAAATAAAAGGCAAAGGAAAAAAACTCATGATGATAAATTTGAATTAGCAATATCATTATGCATTCATGTGGTCTTAAGTTTCTTGTCCTGCTTTACCAAAGCAAAAAAGTCCCTGATCCAGATATAAAGATCTTGATTCCTTGATCCTGGGCCATCTGCTCCAGCCATATTGCTTCTCTGATTTGTTTGTTTGTTTCTTGGGTTTTTTTTTAATGTTTTATTTATTATTTTTATTTTGTGTGTATGAGTGTATCGCCTGCATGTATGTGAGTGCACTGTGTCATGCAATGCTGTGGAGGTCAGAAGAGGGCATTGGATTCCCCTGGAACTGGTGTTACAGATAGTTCATAGCCACCATGTGGGTGCTGGGAATCAAACCCCAGTCCTCTGCAAGAGCAGTCAGTGCTCTTAACCTCTGAGCCATCTCTCCAGCCCCTCATTTGTTTGTTTTTACATTTCTCTTAATCTAGGGTTTCTCAGATCTTCTGAACAATATCCTCGATTTAAGAATCTGGGACACAAGCAAATCAACTATGTGACAGGAATTTCCTTTAAAATTTTGTTCTAGGAGCTCGAGAGTTGGCTCAGTGGTTAAGAGCACTTGCTGCTCTTGCAGATGACTCAGGTTCAGGTCCCAGCACCCATGAGCTATCTTTTACACCAGATCCAAGGCATCTATCACCTTCTTCTGGCCTCTGAGGGTACTGCTTATATGTGGTGCACATACATATATGCAAGCAAATCACACACATAAAATCTTTTTTTTTAACTTAAATTTTTTTTAAATTTTTATGTGTATGCGTGTATTGCCTGCATGTAGGTAAGTGCACCCGTGTCGTGCAATGCCCGTGGAGGTCAGAAGAGGCTGTCGGATCCTCTGGGACTGGAGTTACGGACAGCTGTTAGCTGCCATGTGGGTGCTGGGATTCGAACCTGGGTCTTCTGCAAGAACAGCCAGTGTTCTTAACTGCTGAGCCATCTCTCCAGCCCCATAAAATAAATTTTTAAACTCTTATTCTAAAATGTATGTGCATTTTCAGTCATCTCCATAACAAACCTATGATTAAATTAAATACATACTTTTCCAAAAGAAAATCTGCTTTGCCCTCAAATCCTTCAGTAAAGCCGATGCTCTTCACAGATCCAACATTCCTTTTTGTATGAGTTGAAGAGAGTTGTGGATTTTGGTTGTGTCAGAATTTCTCCATGGTCACTTGGTTCCAGCCCTGAAGGAGCACACTAGAAATGTACACACTGTCAGGCTCTGGTTTCTCAGATGCACACTACTTTATACCTATGGTCTCTGGAGAAGAACAGATGAGAGAAATCTATCAAAACTGTGCCACATCAGTGTTCACAGTGAGTTACATTCATGTCCACAGAAACATAATCTCTTTGGCAGCTAACTGAGGATTATTGCACAGGCCCAACATCACTTTCAGCCTCTCAGAGTCTAGCATATAATTCAGGGGCTCCATCCCCAAAAGTCTGTCAAGGGCAGGCCCTATAGCTCAGCTGGTGAAGGTGTTAGCTGCCAAGCCTAAAGATCAGAGTTCCATCCCATCCCTGAATCCCACATGGTGGAAAGAGAGAAATGCCTCTGGAAGTTGTCCTCTGACTTCTACTCGTTCACTCTGGCCCCCTAATCAATCAGTCAATCAATCAATCAATCAATTAATCAATGTAATAAGTAATTTAAAAATATTTATTTTTATTTGTGTGTATGTGCATGTATCTATGTAACTTTATGTGCAACGTGAATGTGCAGGTGGTGACAGAGGCCATCAGATTCCCTAGAACTGGAGTTACATGTGGTTGTGAGCTGCTTGATGGGGGTGCTGGGAACTGAACCGAGTCTTCTGCAAGAGCAGCAGCACTCTTAACTACTGAGCCATCTCTTCAATGCCAAATCAAAGTAATTTTTTTAAACTTTAATTTTTAATTTTTTTATTTATTTTTATCCTATGTGTATGGGTGTATTGCCGGCATGTAGGTAAGTGCACGCGGGTCATGCAATGCCCGTGGAGGACAGAAGAGGCTGTCGGATCCTCTGGGACTGGAGTTATGGACAGTTGTTAGCTGCCATGTAGGTGCTGGGATTCGAACCTGGGTCTTCCGCAAGAATAGCCAGTGTTCCTAACTGCTGAGCCATCTCTCCAGCCCCCAAAATAATAAAAAAAAATTTTTTTAAATTTTTTGTCATGAGTGTATTGCCTGCATATATGTAGGTGCACAGGTGTTGTGCAATACCCCCAGGGCTCAGAAGAGGAGTTACAGTTAGCCACCGTGTGGGTGCTGGGATTCGAACCCAGGTCCTCTGCAAGAGCAGCCAGCACGCTGTCCTTGGACACAGGCTCCCCAGTGTACTCTCTGGAGCATCCCTTTCTTGCATTCTTCAATGCTCCAGGGTGTCCCCGCCTCTCTCCCACCCTACGGGTACTTCGGGAACAAAGCTACACCGAGACCACCGAGCCGATGCTCCGCCCCTCGGCGCCTGCGCGCTAGGTGCACTCGGCGGTTCCCTCCCAGCAGCGCCCGCGCGCGGTCCCTTAGGCCCCTGGGATCTGTGGACAGTTTCAGGCCCTGGCACCTTGGCTTCTGCTTGTCGAGCGCGCCCAGGTCGGGCTGGGCACGGGGGTCCTGGTCCCCGAAGGTCGCGGAGGCGCTGCCGCGTGGTAAGCCGAGGACACGGCGGCCCTGCGGCTAGGAGCGCGGTGCGGGCGGGATGGTGGTCACTGGTGGGCGTGCCGGGGTCTGCGCTCACCCTGCGGCCACCCGGCCATCCCAATGGCGGCTGTGTGACCGAGTGGGGACACCGCTCGTGTGAGCGCGATTGCTGTGACCGTGGAGTGTGGGTGCCGACCCCAAGGTCCTCTGCCGTGTAGACACGGCCCCAGGCGAGCGCCAGGCAGAAACACTCCCAGGAAAGAATGCCAAAAGGCGCGCATCGTGGGAGAAGCGTGTCAGGTGCTCCCCTGAGAACTCCCATCGCGCGGTCACACTATCAGCACTGCCCGGGCCGCGCGCGAGGGTCAGAGCCAGAGGTTGCCTGGGAGGCTATTGCGAATTCCCAGCTCCAGTCCCTGCTTGACTTTTCTTAAATACCGGGACAGGACAACCGTAGTCTCCTGTGTGTTGGGTGATGGGTGGTAGGGACAGGTGTGGTTGAGTCCTGTGTCCTAAGTTTAACCAGGCTGGGATGGGCTCCAAGAAAGGTTTGGATGTTAAGATTCCCTTCTACCCCAGTCCTCTCGAAGTCTGAAGGGCTGGCAGGAGGGGAAGGAATGAATTGCTGTTGCCTTCTTAAAAAAGAGTATTTCCTCCTTGACTTGGAAATGTGTTTTTATTTTTCAGTCTGTAAGAACATCTGTGTCTTATCATTAAATGTCTGGTCCTTGGAAACAGTGGCAAAGTCCACATACCATCTTGTGTCTGTGTGCACATACCCCTGTTAAATGCTTTTCATTACTCTTGTGAGCTTTAATATTTATTTATTTATTTATTTATTTATTTATTTATTTATTTAT